AAAGGATGAGATGACACATGTTGTTGTTTATGACCTTAATAACCTTACATGTGTATTAGTTTAATGTAAACTAAACAGTTTTTCCTTTATTGAAAAATAGGTGGTCCATTTTTGGACCACCGGTCCTCAAAGGGTTAAAGTGAATGGTATCGTGCTAAACAGTGGATCCGGAGGAACAAACATTTAGATGAACAGAAACATGAAAACGGGACATAAAAGCTGTAATGACGCCAACGACACAATATCAGAAGAAATTTTCTACTATTCTTAACCCGATGCTAGAAATAGCATTTATTTTCGATGAAAATGAACAATATATTTGTATTTAGCACGCAAAATTGTGTAGGTGAAGTACGAAGTTTGAAATAGTTTTGAAAACAGTAGATTTTCGAGCTTTTTTGTCGCATACAGAGCTTCAGATAGAAGTGGCGATCAGAACAGGGGTTCTTTTTAAACGAAAAGTTTTTCGAGTTTAGAAAAAGACAATCTCACAGTAATACACATTGCATTAGCGCCGCCACATTTTCGCAAATGTTGTTTATATATAACTTACAGCAGATGCATCATTATAAAAACACATTGTACTAATTACCATGAAATTCGACTCAAGATCTTGTTTACTTTTCAGTAGTCCATTTCCTTGAAGTAATCGTTTAAAAGTACATCATGTTGTTAATGAAGTTTCCAGAAGATGTTTCTACGATGGCATCCGTTGTCTACCCACGTTGATGAATCTTGAAATAAGAACTTGCAAGATCTTGTATCAGGATAGCGCAAGATTTCGCAAAGTCTTCTAAGAACTCGTTATAAGATATTGTGCATTCTTGTGACAAGATTTGATAAGATCTTACAGCAGAAAATCCAAGAGTGTACAAGGTCTTACATGATTCTATTACACGATCTTCCAAGATCATACTGTATGATCTCACTACAAGATTATACAAGAAAATGTCAGATCTTGCAAGATGTGTTTCATCTGGGCAGCAATCTCAATAGAAGCCAACGTATTTATTTGAGCGTGATTGACTGGCATGAAGCTGGATAAACAACTAATTATTAATGGATGCCTTCCTGCGATTAAAGTTGATCTTCACCAATTTACTATTAACCCTAGCGAACGTACTTACGAAGTACTTGGGTTAAGGAATGAGCTTGTGGACTTGTCCAAGTAAATTTACATGAAAAACTTTAGCCAAGTGCTTGTTTCATTTATTTTGTATTTTGTATGTATTTTGCAGCCACACTCTACTTTTGTAGAGCAGACACAAGCATAGGTGTCAAGTTTGTTCAACTTCGAAGAAATACCTAAATTTACCTTCTAAGTTTATAATGATTGATATTATGACGTTTATATACGACTGGTCGATGTAAAACAAAAGAGTGATTGACTCGGCCAAGTACTTCCCAGGTCAGGCAATCCTACAAGATAATAGAACCTACTGATAATAGAATTTCACAGGATTCCTATTGCAGGGTCCTATGAAATCCTCTGGCAGGAATTCCGTAGGATTCTTGGTATAGGACGGTAGCAAAACTCCTATAGGATTTCTATAATACGAATCTTATGCATTTCTTTACAAAATCCTACGGTAAGATTTTGTGTAGAATTTTGTAGGATTTTTTCGTTCTGTATATATTTTCTTTTCTTTTTCTATACGAGAACACAATCACCGACGTCTTTTGCAGTAACTCTACTATAAATACAACTCTACTGTAGAAAATTAGAGAATAATTAAATAAATAAAAATAATAAGTCTATTTTCATTTAAGTTTCCTGTTACTGTGTGATGAGCTGTGATGTACATGTGACGGTTGCACGTAGTAGGGAATAACAACACATTTATGATTGAAGGTGAACGGATTTGGTATGAAAACAGACAAAACAGGGGGAGGGGTAGCGACATGCAGCAGCCACAGCAACTAGAAAATCAGATCAAATCCTATTGTAAGATTAAAGTAGGATTCTGTAGGATCTTGGAAGATTCTGCAATATATGACTACAGGATTCCGTAAGAATCTCACAGTAGGATTTTTTGACTTTGAGAATTTCCTATAAAATCCTACAAGATTTTTGTAGGATCTTACATGATCCTAAAGTAGGGTCTTCTAAGAATCTTGTAGGATCCTACGGTACGACTGTTTGACCTGAGTTGGTTGAAGCGAATCAAGTGACGGTACTTGGCGAGTACCTAGACAAGAACGTGACAAGTAAAAAACTGCCAAGTTCTTGTTCAAGTGCTTACTAAGTGAGGAAACTTGTCAGGTAGTTCAGCAAACAATCAAGCACTTCCATCGAGTACATTTACTAGGGAAAGTTGATAATGGACTGAGGATGCTGACAAATCTATCAGTATGTCTCAAAAAGCCGTTTTTGAGAAGCAGACTCGCGATTCTAGAGTTATCGAGATGCTTAAGTAGATATCAGGAATTGAATTTATTTGTAATTGGCTATTTGCCCAGTTACTTCATGTCAACATTGTTGTTCTTGAGGAGTCTAGAGTGCTTGTACTATGTGTGTGAATATCTGTTGCAGAGGGGGCAAGTCAAAGTCGAGACTTGAAGCTTTTCTGATGAATTGGGCTTGGGGATTTTTTTATCAAGTCTGTTTGAAGTTTAGAACCAATGTTTTTAGTATACATTCCCAACTTAAATATTACACTTGCACTAGTGCGCTATCTTTCGTTCGCTGTTTTCATTGGCGACGATCCATCTTGTTACATTTTTAGGAAAGTAAATTAATAATAATTAATTAATAAATCGATAATATAATTATCCACATTTTTGTGTCTCTCATTTTAACATCTCTCCGTTGACACACTGATTTTATATTTCATGTTATTTTTAATCGTGCTTCTGTGTGTGTTGTTTGTAAATGTTGATGCCAGTGATAATTTCTTGGAATTTGATGGTTATAATTCGAAAATTTATGGATTCGGTCTACGAGCAGATCTCAATGTTCCAGCACGTTATTTTTATTTGCAAACATACGACAGACATGACCAGAAGTAATTTCTCTTGAGAAGACATACATTCACTAGTATAGTGGTTGTTGTTCTATTAGTTGTTCTCTCAAACTATTCATATATTCTGTTATTCTCAGTTGAGTCAGTTTTAACTAAAATTTGAGTAAACAACTGTATAGTAGCGATACCATACAACGACATGATCCTATTAGATAGAATCGTGCAATACACTAACAGTTCATCTAGGTTGAACGAATCATCTGGTTCTGATCTATTTCAATTCGAACTAAAACATGTGAATGGGAGACATGTTCATTGTTATCGCGAAGTACAAGATTTATATGATGGAACGTATTTATTTCGATTCCGCTTATTTGAATCTGTTAAAGATCTTCAACTAGAAATTAAATACCAGCAACAACATATTAAACAATCACCCTATATCATTCGAGGTAAAAGAATAGAATTTTGGATTAGAAAACTAAACTGTTACAAACGAACGAATAATAGATAAATTAAGAAACATATCATTCCTCATACGTAATGTGTTTTTCAAGACAGAAAGTTCACCTATACAATTTTTTTATCGTTAACTCCAGTTTAGTAATATTACTCACGATTATATATTTTTAAGGTTCTGTGTATTCAGATGGTTGTTATTGTCCTGAAACAAATCTTACAAAATGGTATGAATCAATGGATTGTCAAACATTATCAACACGACAATTAAAAGAAGATTTTAAAGTTTATAAAATGATAGATATGAAACAAGTTTTACAATTAGCTAAAGAGAAATATTTCAAACGTTCTGGTACATATAGTCTATGTCATTATGTTGTTAAACAAAATAAAGTAAGTTTTTAATCATTATTATGTTTTTTACCATTACACTTTGTCTTCTTTTCCATCTCAGATATTTCGTCAATGTTACGGACAACATGTTGGATTTAAAATGTTTTCAGATGCATTGTTATTATCATTATCAAGAAAGGTATGTACTATTTATAAACTAATATAATTTCTATTTTGTGTATTGTGTTTGTAGAGATATCTAACCGAAAGTGTTTGTTCTTCATAGAGAACAGAGGATGTGTACGTTGTTTGAATCTATGGAGAAAACTTGCAAGCAAAGATTTCGAAGCATATCTCTAGGATATTTGTTAGTATTACAGATCCGCACGTCCGTTTTTCATACCGGTCCGCCACGATGAGAAAAGCTTGACATTCTCTACAAAACTGTACAGTTGACTAATGTGAGTGATGTATCTAACAGAAAACGATTGAAAATAGAAAATATTTTACAATAGAAACTTGAATTAGTAATCATCTGATGTGTGGCAGCTAAAATATTATATTTGTGATTTTAAAGCATTCGACTCTATTAAGTAACACATTTTCTAGAGACAAATCTCAAGACGTTTGCTTTTAGTTTTTTACCTGCTTTTCTTTTGGAATATATATAAACTGCTCTTATCTTTGAAAATATGGCTAAACGATTGCTTCTTCTTCTACTTCTGCTACAGTGTTAATCATTTTTTAGTGTGTTGATACAGAATGTTCAGTATATTTGAAGAAGAAATAGAAATAGGATATTTTTTCATCGATGCCACAAGGTGTCAATGGGAATTAGTACGATCACTTCAGAGTTCTCCTTCAACTGTCTGTTTATCAAGGATAATTTTTACTGGTTATTTTTTACTTTTTCCTGGTAAGTTAGATACCAGCGCTCCGTATGGACTGGACTGGACTTAGATTTTTTGGATTTCATGAACTCGGACTGGACTGGACTAGACTTTTTTAGTCCATGGACTGGACTGGACTCAAAAATTTGAGTCCATACGGGGCTCTGTTAGATACGCATGAGAAAGAAAGAGAGAACACTACTGTTGAGTGACAAACTCTATTGTATTTTTCTTTTATCATCTCATATTTATTTATTTGTTTTTCTCTCTCTTTAAGGTTCAGTTACCTAATATGGAATTTTTAATGAATTTAGGTGATTATCCGTTAACTTCACATCATGATCAATCTTCTCTTCCAATTATGTCATGGTGTGGATCGAATTCAACTCTTGACATCATTTTACCAACATATGAAATCACAGAGGCAACGTTACAAATGATGTCAAGGTAGGAAATTTTTATGAACAACACTAAGATATGGGTGTCAATAATAGTAAGCAAAACAAGGTTGTTTTGAATAGTCTGAAAGAGAAGAAAAATAAAATGATCTTTAGATAGCCCATGAGGAAATTTTAGTATATAAAACGGCGTGCACACCCATAAATATCGTAAAATGAACTGTGATCACACGTGAACAACATAAAATGGTGTCCGGGAACGCGTGGAAAATATATTCGACTTGTGACAACGCGTGAACTGCTCACGGAAACTTTTCGCAAGTGATCGCTAGTGAAAATCGTCCAACGGTGTGTGAACACACGTGAAAAGAAATTTTCATTCGCGTGAAATTATAGAAAGTTCATATGTGAGCACGCATTTCATGTTGCAACTGCAGGGCCCCAACATTGTGAAACTTCGACAAAATTTCCCCATGGGAGAAGTAGAAATATGTTATGCGATTTTGTTCAATTAGAGATTTCATTTTTCTCGTACTTTATTTAGAACAACATTGGATATATTTGCAATGCGAACAGTAAAACATCCAAAATGGTCCGATAAAATTTCAAAAGGTTTTTTTCGTGGACGTGATAGTTGTCGGGTATGTTTTTAACATGAAAGATACAATAAAATTTTCTACTATTTTACTATGACATCTCTTTTCTAGGAACGTTTAGATTTAGTGTTATTAAGTCGACAATATCCTCATATTATTGATGCTGGTTTGACACGTATGTTTTTTTTTCGAAATGAAATGCAAAAATATGAACCAATGAGTGAACAAATACCAATGCCCAAATTTTTTGATGTAAGTTGACACCACAACAAAAAGTATACTCAAAAACATTAGATTTATATAAATTTTCAACATCTGACGAAAGATATTTTGTATTATAATTGTGTTTTTTTCTATTAATGATCTTTTTTTTTTGTATTTCTAATTTAGTACAAATATCAAATATCTATCGATGGCACTGTGGCTGCTTATCGTTTTCCTTATTTACTAACTGGTTCATCACTTATACTAAAACAAGATAGTTCATACTATGAACATTATTATGCTGATTTAATTCCATATAAACATTATATTCCAATTAGAAAAGATTTAAGTGATTTATTAGAAAAAATACAATGGGCGAAAGAAAATGATGAAGAAGTTCAACGAATAATTAAACAAGCACAACGTTTTAGTCAAAGATATTTATTACCAAATCATATTTTATGTTATCATATGAAAATATTTCAAGTATGTATAATTTCGTATTTATATTTAGATTATCTTGTATATTTTTTTTTGTCAAAATATTTCAAAAATGAAAGTCTTTCTTCTTTGCATACTTTTTGCTCAGAGAGATATTTCCATATAATGTTGCATGACAATTATATGACTGATTAGCACTATTTGATATTCTTTTTTATGTGAACTATATATTACTAATATACTAATTGCGATACTTTTTCAAATTATATATTTCAGTTGAGAAATGAAAAAATATAAACACAAAACTTGCAATTCTCAACTGAGACTGAGGTAATAAAATATGACTTTCTAGTTGATTTTTTTTGTATCTTGATGATTTAATGGAATGAAACAGAAATAAGTCTCTGAAACATAATGCTGAACATTTGTGTGCATACTAAAGACTGTAATTTAGCTTACAAACTTATAACTTTATTGTCATGTAACTACTCTTGGATTCCCAACAGCTTTATATTTAATGCTAGTGCTCATTTGTTTGAAATACGCTAGATATTGTATATTCTCATGCTCATTCATATATGTATTTTTACCATTTTGTAAAACAATAGAACATCTACAATTACTCATCGAACGTTTACTACTAGGGATGCACCGGTTCCGGTGATAATCGAACAACCGATATGCCACGTTTTCCATAGGACGTTTTTTCGATATTTTGAATGTGCTTGTGGTCCGCCTTTCAGAGATTTTCATAGAATATGAAATGCAGACTTGGAAATTTTCAGAAACTGGCTTACTGCTCTGTAATGCTTAAATTTTAAATTAAAGAAGAAAATTTTATCTTCTGCTGATACAAAACGTTGAATAATTTGAAACAGAACTCAGAAATCTGAAAAAGAATGCATGGTATAGTAGGTTCGAGTACAGTACGTTTTTTTTCATCTGACGAACCGCAAACTTTCTGCTTATTCTGCAAACCGCTTATTTCACATATAGAAGAAATAGGACAAACGAAGGCTGAAATTTAAAATTATTTGTTAAAAATTTCCCTGAGAATACCAATTATGAGTATCGGTTACAACCGCTCATTGGTACATACCTAATTTACTACCGTTCTAATCTTGGCGCTGACGACAATAGAATATTGATGAATCTCTTTGTGGATTCTTTTTACGAATAAAATCCATGAAAATATATTTCAACAAACTTTGATAGAATACTGTCTGATTATAGTATCATGTACGGACAATACATGTACACACTATCCTCTACCGAAACTGAATCTCAGTTAGAAAATGCAGTTTTGTTTTTAAATTTTTTTATTTTCTAACTGAAAAACTTAATTAAAATAATATCTCAATTGAAAATAGAGAATTATCTCTTATGTTTGTTCCGATTTGATTTTGTCACTATTTGTTGTTTATTTTTGGTTTCAGGAATACTCCAAACGTCTTCAATCTTCAATTGAGATGTTGCCTGAAATGGAATTAGTTCAACATGGAAAAGACGAAAGTCACATCAAAATTGATCATTGTCATTGTCATAGAACTTATAAAGAAAATCAACAACAAGTAAATTCTGTCATTTCTTTTATCTATTGTTCGACTATTAGAAAAATGGAAATAATACGAATTTAATTCCAATAGTAGAGATACCAAATCTTTCCAACGATTTAGGAAGAGATATCAGTTTTGCAAGCAATTGAATGCAACATTTTGTAGGCAGTTATCAGGTTGAAATATATATATTTAGAATTGTGCTGAATGACTCATAATCTAATTGATACTGACGTGATAGAGCGGAGATTATATTAGATTAGTAGTTTATTTTGCAAAAAAAATAATGTTAAATAATAAATCATTGATGGGATTTTTCTAATGTACTACTGTAAGTAGAATGTTGCTTCATGTTTAATCTATTCTATTTCAGGATGTATCTCAACATGTTGAACTTTGATATTCGGACAAGATATGTATAGTTTTTATTTATTAATTTGTTGTTGTTGTTATTGTTGTGAACAAACGGTGCTATTTGTTATGCTGATTATTTTATTGTAGTCACTTGTTTTATCTATTTTCTTTTTGTTACTCACATTTAAGATCTCATCTCGTTTTTTTGTTGTTTTTAAAATAATTTTAATTAGTTTCTACTTTTATATTCTAATTGTTAAATTTAATCTCGTTTCACAGATTTTCTATGGTTAAAAAATGATGTTCATCTATTTTTTTTCAATCTTTAGTATTAAGAATGATTTTGAAAATATTTCTCATTTCTCACAAGCTAAATTTCTAAGTCTAATTGATATTTTTAAGATTGTATCTGAAAAAGTAATAATCGACTATTCTGTATCCTGATTAATCATCAAATCTATGTTTCACTATTATTTGTTCGACTCCAAACGATTGAAGACTATATTATAGTAAAAAAATAAAAGTCAACTAAATGTATCAACAAAGGAAGGATTATTGTAGATTTAGTAACACAGAAAAATTGTTTATGAGATCGCGGTCAAAAGATTTCTAATACTACTAGTTTAATGTTAAAAGAAAGAGAGGTGAGTTTCCAAAGTGATTAGCATAGTAAATATCATTGCTTTTCTCACAATTCAAAACTGCAGTAAAATATTTTTTGGTTTTTATCATACACGGTTAGATAGAGCTTGTCGAGCTGATCAAGTGTATATATGTTTTACTTTACAAAAATTTAAAATACTCGGTTAGACTAAAGTCGTTAAAAACCTCTTCATTTCAATAAAGCAAGAAAATGTTTACCTCCTTCATTTTCTATGATTTTGAAGCTAATTTTATCTAATTCAGTATCAAAACTGTGTATAAAAATGGTGTTTGAACGATCATAGAGTCAAAAATAGATTGAGCCTGGCGACCCCTTTGAAATGGCCCTGAAGCATTTTGTAAACCTATCTAGTATTTTCTGTCGATAGATGGAGCCTTTCTTTTCGTACGGTTGT